ATACTGGTAGATGAGCATCGATGTCTGTCTCACTCATCACGTTAGTACTTTGTAGATTTGTGCTACAGGAAAACGGCCGAGAAGACCGGGGGATTTGACCATGGGTGGGCGGCATGGGTGGTCAACTCGGAGCAAGAAAATATCACGGCCGTTACAAAAACAAAAGCCGAGAGCAACGGAGTGAGTGAATGAGTGAGTGAATGAGCCGGACCGGCCAGACGAGACGGGCGATCCGCGGGCGCTACAGTTGAAACAGGATGGCGTGCTTCTCGATCTTATGATTCTAAGGACCAGTAGAAGAGCAGCAAGAAGCTGTCGCGACGTGACGAGTGACGAGGGACAGATTCGTACATGCCGATAGTGAGTTAACCGCTACTCCGTAACAGTACAGATTAGTTTGCAGTTAAAATGGAGGGAGGATGGTGTGGATACTCCCTTTGTAACAGCGATGAGGAGCCGATCCATCGTCAGTCAATGGAAATGGAGATGGAATTGGAATGGATGGGACGAGGAAGAAGAAGGCCAGGAGGAACGAGGCAGAGCTTGAGCTTGTCCTGGCCTGGGCGTCTCCTCTCTGTGGCAGCCAGTGCCGGCCGGTGGCAGGGCAGGGCAAGAAAGAGCCTGGAGCCATGGGATAGGCTCAATTCACCCCACTCCACACTCCACCAAAAAAGAAGACCAGCAGTTTAAAAAAAGACGCCTAAGACAACTTCTCCTCCTCCAACCTCTCACTAACCAGGACCCGCCAGTCAATTACTGAGTTTACCCCTCTCCTAGCCAAATGTCAACCCACCTTCCTTCCATCATCCAACCATCTCTCAACCCCCCTGTCACTCTTGACTCTTTACTGGCAACGGGTGCCCAAGAGGAGGGCCAAAAAAAGGAAATGAAGGACTGCCACACGCCACAACACGCCCTCCATCCCCCCTTCCAAGTGGACTGCCATTTTAGCGTGAGGTTATCCGGTTCGAGCCCACAAGGCAATGCACGCGAGAAAGAAGCCGTCGACGGGCGGACCTGAGGCGGGTCTAACGCCTGCCTGTCTAGTTAGCTCGTTGCTTTCAGAAGTCGATGCAGAACTCTGGCAGTACGAAGAAAGTTACAGAGTACGGAGTAGAGGGAGAGAGAAAAGAAAGAGACAAACACGGAAAGAGAGAGAGAGAGAGACAAGATCTCAATCCAATCCAATCCAATCCAATCCAATGCAGACCAGTACCAGGTCCGGCTCGACCTCATCCCTCTTTACTCGAGAGAAAAAAGCAACAAGGGGATTCTCACTTGAACCTGTGATTGCCGTTGCTCCGTTTCATTCCATTCAGGCAGGCCCCTCTCCATTCGCCTCGTGTCCTCGCTCCGCCCTGTGGCTCAACTAGCTGTCCGATTGGCGCAGCCCTGGTCAAGCTTTTGTTTGACTGGGCTACTGGCGGTTTCATCACCGTTGAGAAACACAAGCCGGAGCGCGGGCGTGCATGCGAATACTGTCTCTGGCGTCCTCCCACTGATAATATGTCCATCGTTGTCGATACAGCCGCACAAACGCCATCCCAGCGACTTTGGACCAATCTTACCACTACAGCAGATGCATCTGATGCGGCGCCGCCGTCCGCGTTCAGCTGAAAGCTTGACTGCTGCTCCTCTTCTCAGTCTTCGTGCGGAAACACTCTCCGCCTTTCCATGACGGCAGCAGCAAACTTCGACATCTGCGGAACCTCGCCGGGCAAGCCTACCAACTTAAGTCATTAACTGTCTTCCTACCTCTCCAACAATACGCCACGGCAGACGCTCTCAAACGAGAATGCTTCTCCGGTGCCACGAGCCCCACCGACCTTCTCCGAGAAGACCGCAGACGTGCTGCTCGCTGGACTGGTCTTGCGCTTGCATGGTTACACTGCTCCTGCAGCCCCTCGTTCTTTATTTCTCCTAGCCTTGTTGCAGGGATCTGACTGGACTGGCACCGGGACTGCGCACTGATCCATTGGGTCATTCCATTGTCTGCGGCTGCCAGCGGCCATCGCCAGTCATGGGACGGGGACCAGCTTCCTACCAGTACGGGAACCGGACGAAAGCCAAGCAGCGACCCAGAATTTCGGACATTGCGGCGGGTGACTCTGTTGATTAGCTTCATGCTCACTCAAAAGTACGAACTAACAACTGTGGACGTGCATGAGAACTGGGATGGAGGTTGTAATTCGCCTGCACCATTGGATCTCGCATTCAAATTGTCATTCCGCAGCGTACTATCTCATCTGACTCTCAATTATAGGTTACTCAAAGACTCGCGAGCGACTCTTCAAGTAATACAATATATCTGTGGAAACCAGTCCAAGTTAAATGGAAACAAACCAGTCTCTTCCCTACCACCAGGCGCCTAAGCGAAGGTTACGAATATACTCCTCCAGTTCATGACTCAAACCTCCCGGGCCGTTGCCGACTTACCTCGAGCCGTTCGCGACGTGTCCTTTGGGTGAGACATGATCTTTTTCCCGTACCATCTCGACCGCCGCAAGACTTGCAAGCCCAGATGAACTTGAACGCCTCCATGATAAGCCACGCACTCTTCTCAAGAGTAACTACTGGAGCAACCCGCACCCATGCCTCGTTGGCCCCCACCAACGGCAAGCCTTCATCAATATCCTTGCTTCCAAAAGGAAGGATTTGCTCCCCGAATTGGCTCTAGTGCCCATGCTGTAACGGGATTTTACTGAGAATGAACTGACAGGGTGCGCGAATCAAACGCCCCTCTCCCTCCGCCTCCTCCTCTTCTCCATGCGGGCGTCTCTCTACATTGACACCCTTGACACCCCCATGCGACCCGTTGCATGCTCCATACCCTGCGTGACAGAATGGGTTGTCTGCAAGTTGCCTCTCTTTCATTGGTCTGCCATCCGGCGACCTGGGCAAATAGTTGGCCTTTGTGCATCTTGCTTGCATGGCTTTTGGCCGCACAGTGGACCGGACGGTACTCGTACGTACCCCCAGCACTCCATACATGCATCCATACTCCTCCATACGCTAGGCCATGTGTCCAGACTCCAGAATAACATGGCATGGGCCGCTAGAACGGCTGCCTCAGCCGAGGTGAAGCCTGGAAAAGCATGGATGCTTGCTCCATCCCCCTCCCATGCTTTGAATCCTTGGCTGAGCCTTCCCAGGGCCAGCCTAGCTCTGATGCGGAGGCACATGGTGGCATAGTCTAATTATATCGCTGAGAATGTGTTCCGTGGTTCCTTGATCTTAGCATTGCTGGTCGTTTTCCGTGAACTCTCAGTTCATATCAAAGTCGTTGCGCTTACTCTTTTCTGCGAAATTACTCGTCTCTCAAGGAAGGCCAGACGACGATCTCCAACCAAGGTGACACTTCGGCTTCTTCTGCTTCACGCCTTACTTCCCGCCGTGTCAGGGTAGAGACAGCATCAACAGTTCCAAATTGCGACCCGTCACACGTCACAGATACACTTTGTTGACGGAAGCTCTTCTTCCGGACTTTGGTCTTGGACTGACTCTTGCTTGTTGATCTTTCTCGCAGTCCTGGATCAGAATACTTTGCGGGATCGCGGTTCCATCCGCTCAGCTAACAACCCGCCTCGCATGACGGCCCCCTCCCCGAACACACAGGCCAAGTAGGAGTGTACCAGAGCTCCCAGGGAGGGAGTGGATTGGGCGTCAAGGGCAAAAGTTCTCGTCTCGCCTCTTGCCGACATCACACACGCCTCCCTCTCTCACAAAGGGAAAGGCGTCCTTTTTGCAGTTCGCCATTCGACCAACTTGACTTGCCCTCTGTGGAGTTTTGTCTCCTGGGGGTGGACAAGGCCTGGCTCACCTACTCGTTGGCTGGAAGCCGCATCTACTAATAACTGAGCGCCTCTCATCGAAGTCGAGCAACCTCGGGAAAAGGTCCTGTGCATGAGCTCTCGTACCAGTGGCAACACTCACTACTCCTTCAAGCAAAGTCGAGGCCATTCCCCCACAAGTTTACTCTCCACCGCCAGCTTCATCCTTGCTTCCGAAAAAAAGAGGTATCATAAATTAAAGAAATTATCCAGGCAAGGCCAGCCATTAGGACTGCCTAATTTGCCCTTTGCTGGAACGTCCCTGGTGCCCAAAAGAGGCTGCTGACCCGCCCTCTTGCTTTTCAGCGAAGCCCGCCTTCGAAGTGGCTGTGGAAGATACGCCTCCTATAACCCCCAGCAAATATCAGTACAAGTCGGGTCTTCTTCCACGGCGAAAGAGAGGCTTGGCCTTCTTCCAAACATTCCAACACGATCTGGTTTCATCTACTCACAACTCGTCTGAACTTGGACAGCCCCGGCCTTCTTTTACGCGCGTCTCCTTGCTGGGGAGACCAGTTTGCGGGTTGCAGAGGAGAACAAAAAATCCGACGCTGACCCATGGCCTGACTGCTTCTTTTATTCCAGGGGTAGATATATCACCATCTACACCTTTTTTTCTTTTATCCGCTCAAAAGAGACAGTCGTTTCTCTTCTCGTCTTGCTGTGCCTCCCGGTTTCCTACTCCCTCCTCTTCCGGCCTGCCCAGAACTTGCCCATTGTCGTGGCGCGTGTCGAAGCGGTAATTCTTCCTCAGCAGACCTGGCGTCCAGAGGAGAAGGACTGTTGGATCGAGAGATTTTCCGCTCAACAGCGTGTCTGCAGTCTCGACAACAACACAGAGCACTATCTCGCATCGGAGAGTACCCTCGTCGTGATCTGGGGAAGCGAAACGAAGGAGCAGCTACGAGAGACGATGCTGGTTCTTTGAAGAGTTTCTTCCATCGACTTCGAAGCGAAATCGGCACCCAAATCACTTACCTGTGGGAGACAACATTTGTATCTTCGGCTGCGTTTCGTTTTGTGGGTTGGTTCATCTGATTTTGCTCCCGTTAGTCCTTTGTCGACTGCCGCTCAACACCAATGTTTGCGACGCAACTTTGCGAACCTATTGCACACAAGTGGCCTCTGGAAAAGCACTCGCCACCCTTTCCAGAGCATATAAGACCTCGCATGGCAGACCCGCACGGGATAGGGTCCTCGGCAAAGCCAACCTGGTCGGAAGAAGGGATGTATCTGCAACGACCCGGGCCAAATCACCCGCAGCAGCTCTTCCCGACGACGCAAGACTCCGCGTCAGACAAGGGGCACGCGGATGCCCTGGCAGATGGCCACGAAAACACCCCCCACGGCCATGGTTATGGTGAATACCAAAGCTACAGCCATGGGTACGACCCAGCCTCGTCTCGATTCCGCACCAGGACCTCACCTTCTGCGCCGAGCATCATGACGGAGACTTCCAGCTATAGGGCAATGCACAGCTCAGATCATCTCTGGCGGAGTCGGCTGGACGCGACGAGGAGCGATAGCGGCGGCATCATGGGGCATTACGGTGCTGGCAGCGCAGGCGGACCGCAGGCGCCAGTCTCGGCTGGAATTGGACATGGCGAAGGAGATGAGTATTCTGATGACGGGGACATTGCCGAGGGCGAGTCCGAAGGTATGCAGCAGACCGCGGCGGAGAGACTGGCTTCGCGAAGGAAGATGAAGCGGTTCAGGTTTGCAACTTCCACCTAAGCCTCCTCTATTGCCGGAAAACTGACCAAGGCTAGACTTACGCATCAGCAAACGCGATTCCTGATGAGCGAATTCGCGAAGCAACCACATCCTGATGCTGCGCATCGAGATCGACTGTCCAGAGAGATTCCGGGACTCAGTCCGCGCCAAGTCCAAGTCTGGTTTCAAAATAGGTTCGTTTGGATCTGCTCGTCTAAACGACACGCGTTTCGATTTTTGCTAACAGTGCATTCTAGACGCGCCAAGATCAAGAGGCTAAACGCCGACGACCGCGAGAGAGTGGTTCAAATGAGGGCGGTCCCCGAAAATTTTGACAACGTGCAGGCACTGCACTCGCCCTACGGCGCGGTGCAAGCATACGACAATAGCGCGCTGCCGCATCCGCAGCATCACATTTACGGAGGGCAGCATCATTCTCGGGGCCTCATGGTCGACGTGCGGCGGACCGAGGGCGAGACGCACGCGATGCAGTCGACCGGCCTCACGCCCATCTTTGGTGGAATCGGCTTTGGCCAAAGTCACGTCCCCGGCTTGCTGGAGACGAACCACATGCTCGCGTCACCGCCACCAGCGCCGCAGCAGCCGCCAGCTTTTGGTTCTAACGACAGATATACGTACGGGACGAGACCGCAGGCCGGTGTGGGCATCGTCGCCGACAACAAGGGCGGCTCGTCCACGAGCAGCCCCGTTCACGAGGGCCATCACCAGCACCACCAGCACCACCACCTACACCGACCGGAGACGAGGCCGCTACGGCCCGGCGAGCTGGGTAATCCCCTCACCAGGGGGCGGTCGCCGGTGTCCTCTTTGCCGTCGACCATGGGACCCTCCATGTACTGGCGAGGGGGAGGAGGGGGGAGTGGGCTCGGCGACGTGGCGGAGGCGCACGACTCTGCCGCCGTCGCAACCTCCGCCTCGGAGCACGGGAGCGAAGCTCCGGGGGCACCGCCTCTGCACACCTCGACCTCGGGGATGGGCCTCAATACCCTATTTTATGGCGGTGGGTACTAAAAAAACAAAGCCAGCCCAGTGTGTGTTTTTGGTAGCTTCTGCGCAGCGAAGAGAAGAAGAACCCAGACAATTGATTAACCACCTGTATTTTTCTACTGCTCAGGTGACGCTTCGACGCAGCCGTCAACTGCTGCTCCCGCGGGTGACATGAGGCCGTCCCGTCCAGACCCGTTTCCTCCACCTACTCGAAGCTGGGCGCCTCCGGTCAACAGCCGCGGCAGCGGCCCGTACGGCGATATGAGGGCGGTAACGCTACCGCCACAGCAACAGCAGCCGATACTGACTCCCACCCGAATGGAGTTGGCGCGAACGGCGGCAGCGGCGGCGGCGGCATCCGTAGCCTACGCGTCGCCAGCTTTGCCCGTTGGTAGCAGTGCGGACGCGGCAGCACTCGACACAATGACGGCGATGACGACGACGACGAATACGACGAGAGTTCTTCTTGAACCGCAGAGCAACCACCGATACATGCCGCTGTTTCGGAACGACGCTGGTAACACGTCAGCTGCGGCTGCCCGCGATGGCTTTCCCGCGCAACAAGCGGGGGGCGCGGACCAGCGGCTGTTCTACCCGGCCGAGAGGCAGCAGCAGTAATCAGCCGCGTCGCAGTTTGAGCGATCCGGGAGCGTGCTGCCGTGTGGAGGAGAGGCGGTAGAGGCATCGGAGTCGGACACCGTTCAGCGGGAGTAATTTGGTGCTTCTCTACGGCTGCTCCCTGGTCTCCCGAACCGCTTTAAACATAGGCCACAACCGTCCTTCCCCCTTCCTTTCTTTTTTTCTTTGTATTTTACTTCTTTTCTTTTCTGTCGCCTTTTTCTTATTTCTTCTTGTATATATAACACATGATGGGAGCCAAAAGAGATAGTCCCAGGTTCCGGGCCCAGGAGAAGCAACAGGATTGCTCGGCGAAAGATAAGAAGCACGTATTTCGGGCTTTTTTGGCAGTATATATATGCAGCCCATATTGAGTACAAAAAAAAAGTTGACTGCTTATTACTTTTGCGATGTCGGGCCTATGCAGTGGATGTGTGTGTGTGTGCATCTTGTACGATAGAGGGCGTCCTGGGGAACGGAAGATTGAGTCAGCGTCGGTTGACAACGGGAGCATGCTAGGTCGTGATGCGGGTAGATGTCGAGCTTCAGAGCTATGCCGAGTATATTGTCCTCCAGCCGCCCAGCGGTTATTGCACCCCTCTTTGAGGCGGCGGCGACAACGCACCACGGGGCGTGGCCGTACGTCCGTTCTTGCCGCGGATCTCGGCAAGGGGTAGCAGCAACGACGGACAAGGCAGATAGGTTTACCAGATGTAACATTGTCATCATGAGAAAATGGGTATGCCCGCATCGAAGGATTTATGTAACGGAAAGGAGGGGGAGGCGGAACATACCGTCACCTCGTGCCGCGTGACGCATGGGATCTGGTGATACCCAGAGACGTGACTGGAATTGCTACTTCCCTACATTCCCCAACGCTACGAGTCGTCCAACAACAGCACAGGGGCGGCACTCGTCTCGCTTTCTTCTTCTGTTGTCCATCGCGATCCAAGGCAAAGAACACATTCTGCCAAAAAAAAAAAAAGAGATAAATATGTCACTTGCATCAGGTCATCATCGTTTCATGGTAGCCGCACGAGGGGCCCTCGTGATGATGGTTTTAGGCAAGGTTAAATCGGTCTCGACCGCGCCATCGCAATCGCCAGCAGCAAAGGGAAAATAGAGCCGAGCTGACAACATTGTAAGTAGTGTTGGCGGTCTTGGTTTTTGTTTAGATGAAGAAAAAGAAGAGGAAAGGAAAAAGATTCCGCAAAATCGTTGAAGGTGTGGAAAAGGCTGCGGCGGGCGGGCCCGCGCTGGATCATCACGTGATGCAGTAGATTTCCTTCCCACGCCAGGTGATCTACAGTGCGAGAGTACAGTGTTAATAGTGCGGTTACCACGTTTCGGCGGACCCGTTAGGGCGTTATGCCGCTGCTGAAAAGCCAGCAGTAGTTGTTTCCAGCGCCCCCACCCCCCGTTTCATCGCACTGTCCTACACTGTAGTAATACGGAAAAGCCGTGGCACTCGGCCCACCCCCAAACTTCCTGCCTCGCCTTTCAGGCTGCCATCACCCCGTCGCTCATTCTCCGCCCTCCGCCCGTTGCCCGACGTTTACCATACCTGTATTATCATCCAAACCCTCGAACCCTCCCTTGGCTGCCGCTCGACGCATCACGCACCCTGTTTACGACGTCCACGCCCACCCGCGAAGCCCGACGATCACTTCGTTCCATCTTCCGAACCGCCCTCCCCCTTCGACCCGCCCGCGTTTGCCGCCCAACGAGACGACAGCGCTACGACGCCGCGCATTCCAACGGCGCACCCTGTGTTTCGCGCACAATCTCGCATCTGCGCTTGGCTAGAGGAAGTGTGTGCGGTCATTTTGAGCCGTTTTCTTTCCAGCCATCGCATATTTCTCCTATCCTGTTCTTGACGGAAATCAACACCCGGATCTTTTGACGGAAAACCCTTTTGCAGTGTATGACGGTCGACAGCTGAAAGGAAAAGGCTCTGCCTCGTCCAATCCGATTTTGCCGGCTGGCAAACTTGGCGCGACACCTTTATCTCTCACTCACTCTCTCTCGATTCCTCTGAAGCAGAACAGCTCCTTCCTCGTCTCTTTACCAGCCTCACCCCCGTTCTTCCTCCGAGGCCGAAACGCTTCTACCAAGAGAGCCGCGCGATGTCGTTCCATCCGCAGACGCCACAGAGCCCCTCGCAACCATCGCCAGCCACGCACCTCGACCCCATGGCCGCCGCCAGCTCGGTTCCCACCGGTCCGGCAACCCTTCCCACGCCCGCGCACAGCGTTACCGGCAGCATCTGCCACCAGTCCGACGCCACCATGGCCGAAGAGTCGCCCCATAAGCGGAAGCGCACGATCGACGATGTCGGTGAACGGGACCAGAAGAAGGTCCAATACGACCACAAGCTGGGAATCGAGGACCTGCATCTCGACGTCGGCCCCAAGTACTTGTTGCTCTCAAGACGTAAGGAACCCATCTGCTGCACTGTCTTCCCCTTCAGCCTCCCTCGCCGTTGGATGAGATGTGGAGGGGGTGTGCCCAGCTACGTGGGCCAATCTTTGACAAGTGACAAGAGTATTTTGTGTTGACGATGCCCTTCTGCCACAGCTCATGACCACCAGTTCCCCGTTCTGACACGGGATCTGTACGAGGACTTTAACTTGGAACGCCTAGCAGCGGAAGTAGCACGAGAAAAGCCCAACGGCGAGAAGAATGCCCTACGCAAAACGTACAAGGGACATATCAAGCGCCTCGGCGTTGCAGGGCACTTTGACGTGCAGAAAAAGAAGGAGGACGCGCCCTCGGAGTTCATGGCCATGCTGCAGATGCCCGAGCTGGAATGGAGCGTGCACCAGGTTAGGGGCCGCGAGATTGGTGACGGCCTGTCCGAGGCGACGCAGGCGAGCCTGGGGCGCGCCGTGACTCTCTCGAGGGGTCAAATTGCCCGATCCGTCTGGGACACCTCTGTCCTCGGAGACATGGCCCCTAGCCACAGCAGCAATAACGTCAATGGGGAAACAAGCAAGCCTAGTGCGGGCCCGGCCAAGGCGACCGCGCCAAGCACCCCCGCCGCCGCCACGACGCCGTCCGCGATGGATCGGCCCCGGGGGAGCAGCAACCTCCCACCCGGCGCGGACCCTGCCCGCCCTCGCAGGAACATCAAGAAGCGGACGTACGGTGATAGTAGCTACGAGGGCTACGGCGAGGGATTCCCCGATGACGACGGCGGTGCTGACACGGGGTACTCTACTGGAGAAGGCGAAGGCGGACAGAAGCGTAGGAAAAAGGTGAGTTTGATTGATTACTGTGCACTCACACCCCCGTGACATCCGTCTAACGCGAAGGAAGCAGCAGCAGACTTCGGGAGCTACGCCTCCGTATCCTCCGGTCCGGCAGCACAGCTACGGCCCCGGCATGGTCGGCGCATAGCGGTGCCTTGACTCGATCAACATCCCTCCCTCCCCCTCCTTTTTCACTACGTCTTGCTGTTTTTTCCCTGGCATCTGCTCCCCCGCATAACGCATATCATGACGTGGCATTTTTCATTTTTCTCCTACATATGCGGGGAAACACCAACGAAAAAAATAGGTCGCGAAAGCAAGATTGTCCGCGGCCTTTTGTTTATACGGATTCCTTTATTCATGACAACATGATAGGAGTTTACGGCCGCTTCTGTCCCGTGCCGGTCTTGTGATTTCCTCTCTTCTTTTCTGTTCATTAGAGGTTTACTTGGTTTCCCTCCTGGGATTACTTGCTTTTTTTCTTTTGCCCTCATCCCTCGCAGCCATGTTTCTCTCGGCTTGTCGTCCTTGATGAACGAGCTTGCTGGGAAGCAAAGCTGGGCGGCTGTTGCACATTTTTCTCGATACACGTTGTTTTCTTTCGTTTCCCATTCTGGGTTCTCTTTTGTTGTTTTATATTAGCATGGCGTTGGGCGAGGAAAAATATTTGCGTTGTTTTCAATGGTTTACTGTCATGTCAAGCTTTTTGTTCTTGGAAGGCTGTACATGTGCGTATCTCTTTCTTGGACAAAAAACAACAAGACACGCATGCATCGGGTACAAGTTCACGGGCAAACGCGCACAAAGAAGATGAGAGACGAAGAAAGGCAGCCTTTCAATCCAGAATGCATTCTCTCGCACAAAGATTTCTTTTTTCCAACTTGGGAACTGTACCACAGTTTTTGTCTTTCTTGATTTTCCTCCGTTCTTTATTTAATCGGTACTAAGAAAGCTGGTTGTTTGTGTCGTTTTTTTCTTCCTTCGTCGCTCTTATACTTTCTATTCGGCCGTTGCTTGCCTGGTCGTTCTTTTTTGTCCCGCGTTGGCCTGCCGTCAAACCTTTTTACGCGCCGAGGAGGCCCTTGGGGAAAGGAAGAGAAGAAATCGGCTGTTCTTGGGCTTGATGACGACTTCTTTTTATTTTTCTTCCTTTCACGTCTTTAGATACCAGCACATTTGTTTATTGTTTGCATCTTTATTATTTCCGAGACAGATATACATATCCAAACAAAAAAGTTTAAAAAAATTGTCCCACCAGTTGTTAGAATGTAAATTAGTAATGGCGTTCGATCCTCACTATTTTTGATCGCTATTGCATGACAACAATCGCTCTTATTGCTGGATTCATGCTCTTGCGGTAGATAGTCTATATTAATATCAATCGTGAACAAGAAGAAAAAGAATTGGAAACATGAAGGGAGATAGACCATATCAAACGCTCAGAGTACTAATCATAACATACATTACACATGAAAAGAGAAAAATCACCCAACTCCCATCCAGCCCTGGTATCTTACCGATCCTCTATTTTTTTCCCAGCTTCTGTTGTACTTTTCAGTATGTCGAAACATTGATCTGCCAACTTCGTCATCGAGACGGCGGATCCCCAAAGTTGCCATTCTCAACAGACGGGTATGCGCCACCGCTCATCTCGGCCCAGCTCCAGTCCAGAGTCATGGGCAGCGCAAACAGGTCCTGCGGCAGCAGCGGTTGGTGAAACGGCGCATCTATGGACATGGCCGATGGATCGCCAGGGAAGCCGTTCATGGCGTTGAATGAGTCAAAGTCACCATTTTGCGGGATCTGCTGCTGTTGCTGCTGTTGTTGCTGCTGCTGGTACTGATGGTGCGCTTGAGCTTGCGCGTCGTGGTTTGGGTTGCCGTTGCTAGGTGACTTATGGTCCTCGGACGGAGATGTCGCCGCGACAGGCCCCCACGATGACGAGCGGTGGGTGCGGACAGGGGGTGACAGCTCTTCAATTGTAGTTGGGATGGGTACCTCGGAAGTATCAAGGTTCTTGGAGCTTTTAACCTTGCCATCCGTGCGGCGCTTTCGCCTGAAAGTCTGATCATTTTCTGCCTTGTCAATCACCAGCTTGGCGATGCGTACAAACTCGGAGCAAACGCCGAGCATACGATGGACACCGCCTTGCTCTGCCTCTTGGCCAAGCATGGAAAGAAACGTGACAACCAAATCCATGAGTCGCGTATCGTTTTTGGCGCGCACATCGAGCGGGTTTTGAAGAATGTTTCCAAATAGTGTCACCAGGGCGGAGACCGGAAAGTACAGAATCAACCTGGAAATTGTTAGCTTCGCGTTAAGGGATTAGAAAATTATAGTCACTCACCAGACACATGCGAAGTCACCCTGGGGAACGTATTTCAAAAGAGAGATCGATGCTCGCGCTGCAGCAGTGGAAAGGGCAGCGGAGGAAAATACACGGGGGTTCAAGGGCCGCGCATTGAGGCCTTGGATGGCGTAATTGGCCAAGCGGCTCGTCCAGTAACCATGATGAACTGACATGCGGTGGATTGTAGTGAGACAGTTGTAGTATGCGAAATGCAGCATGACGACGTGCAGAATCAAGGGTGTGTGGGAAGCCTTGATTTCGTGCTCGGGGCGGAACTCGATCGGAATGCGATCCTTCCAGTCTTCTAGCTGTTGGTCCAGTTCGCCAATTGTGTTGAGGAGCTCGCCATCGGACTGCTTGGTCGCCTTGGTCGAGTATAGTCGCTTGTACACGCTGCTTTCGATAACGGCAAATTCGCACATGACGCGGAACAGATTCATCTTTCCCTTTCCATCGGCGAGGGGGATATTTCCGATGTTGTCGTCCGGGTCGGCATCTGGTAATTCGACATTCATATCGTCATCGTCCTGTGCAGGCGGTCGGCCAGATCGCAGACAGAGGTCCTTATCAAGCATATAAGCGATCCAAAAGACTCGTTTCCGCTGCTCTATCTCGATGGGGTTAAGGTTGAACCCGGACCCACGCTTGTGTAAACCTATGCTGTGAGAAAGTCGGATGGCTGCAGCAATGAGCAGAAACGAAGGTTGCGGGTTGGGAGTGCCCTGCATGAAGAGCGCCATACCCAGAAGCGCTTGCACGGAGAGCAGATCGGTGTTGCGCATCGTCAGTTCGGAAAAGACGCCCATGGCATTCTTGAGATAGGCCCACGCCTTTTCGTCCTCTTCTTGAGGAACTAGGTTGCTCATGACACGAAGACGATGAGCAATGGCCAACGCGCAGTTCAAACTAGCCCACCATCCGGACCCCTGGTAAGGATTGGAAGAGTACTGGAGCTCAACGAGATGCATAAACGTCGGCTGGTGAAAGAGGGGAAACATGCAGTTGAAGTTTTCGAAGTAATCAGTGAGCAGCGAGAGAGCTTCCTGCTTAGGCGGGAGAGGTCTGAAAACAGGGCGCTGGAATAAGTCACGAAAGACTTCGGGCTTCCAGTTGGTCCACTTATGGTCGTCGACGGAGACTTCCGAGATCATTTCTTGGAAAGAATCGTCACCTGTTCTCGTGTTTACCCATTGGATGCCCTTGGGCGAAAAGATGGAAAACCCAGAGGATGATCCTTCATAATGTTAGTCGGCAAATAAGGAAGGGATTCAGCAAGAGAAGACGCACCAATATAGCGAGTCTCTCCGCTCTGGTTGGTCACGAGTGAGCACATCATTTCCGAAAGGGCTTCCACTTCCTCGTGCCCCTCATCGTCGCTCTCCTTCGCTCGCTTGTCTTCTGCGGATAGACCAGACTTGCGCTTCTCTGCCGTTTCTTTTCCAGGCGAAGCAAGTGAGCTCTGAGGGGTGGCGTTGTCGGCTTGCAGAGGGGATACGGGCGGGCTGTTTGAACCAATGGCGACAGATGCTTGCCTGGACTTTTCTTGCAATTTCTTCTCGAGGGCGCCAAGATCGGCGTCTGGGTCGTCGTCATTCAAAACACCTGTCGGGGTCGTGTGAGTAGGTAGTTGCAGGTCAAGCGAGTTTGTGGTAACTATGCTGCTCGGCAAGGCATACCTGATAGGCGAAGCAATTGTTCCATGCGACCGAGGCGGTTCTCGAGTCCTTCAATATATTTCGCACTGGCAGCAAAGGCTGGTCAGTCTCGAGGTGACGTAGTCATGAGGAATAAAAGAGAGACATTACCCTTTGGGCGGGCTGCGCTTCTTCTCGACCTGGGTAAAGGCGCAGTCGGTCTTGTAGGTGCTGCAGTTCGTGCAGGCAGGTAGCTTGCCGTCGCACTTGATTTTTTTCTTGCGGCACATGTCGCAGGCCTATTGAATAGAAATGTTGTTAGCTAGAGATGAGAACTTGTCTAGGATGGCGGCAGGCAGTGCGCCGGTGTAGAGGGAGAAAGTATTGGAGGGCAGGTACTTGCCCTGGCGATGCGGCGTCTTTTTGCGTCGTTTGTGTCCTCCATGAGCAGCTGCGCATCGGAAAACATATGGGCGGTCATATCGGGCATATGCGCCATGTTGGGCATGCCGTCCTGGGCGTAGGAGCCAAAGATCTGGGGGGGTTGATTCATCAATGGCGGGCCCGAGCCGGGCATCTGGAAGCTCATATGGTCCATGGTCAAGGTGGAGAGAAGGGGATGATGCTGGAGTGGCAATGCGCGGAAGGGTGGCGAAGCGGCGATGTATCGCGAGCCGTGCGCAGTCAGAGCAGCAGGCGGGGTTGGTGGTGGATCGAGATTGGAGCTTCTTTCACGGGATAGTTTATTTGCTGGAGAAGGTTGTGTGGCGATGATAACTGCAGCTGCTGCTGCAAGGTCCTTGGTTGAGGCAGGGTGTGGTGGGAGGGCTGGTCTACCTATCGAACAGGCAGGGTATGCAGGTAGGTATACGATGCGGAGGAGGTAAAGGCTATCGTGAGAATCGGGAGACGGCAGTCATGTCGAAGAAGGTGGTAGTATGAATAAATTCTTTCCGAATGAAAGCAGATTTGCGGATCAGGCCAAGGGGCTAAAGGAAGAGAGGAAGAGAAGAAGAGAAGGAAGAAGGAAGAAGGAAAAGAAAGGGATTGAAAAGAGGAAGAGGTATGGACGGAGAAAGTGGACTGGCTGGAGTTGGGGATGGAGGTATGTGTCTGATGCTGAGGAGGAGAGGGGGAGGGGAGTGGGAGGGGAGCCCGCAGGACAGGCAAAGCTAGGTGAGGTAAGGCGAAGGCAATGCAGCTTGACCACAGACAACTATGTAAGTTGAGGCAAAGTATCTTGGCTAGTTACATAGGCTGGGAGGTACATGTCTAGGTAGGTAGATAGCTTGACCTGGATCTGTGTGGCAAACGTATTAGGGTGGTATTAGGTTGCTTCTAGGCAGTTTCTTAGTAGCGGAGTTGGTTGCACATTGTGTGAGCCAAATGTGAAAGCTTGCACCAAGTTCCAGTTACCTGCTTCAATACTAGCGGCCGCTGGCTCTGCCTGGACTGAACTGCGTCGCGGACTCGGGTCTTCAGTTGTGCCTGTGATGGCGCCACGGGAAATCAGAGTTTCCCGGGCGGGCCATTTTTGACAGACGACGGGGCTGTCTGACCCTTGACCAGGTCACTATTCGTTGAGCAGCACTCAGTACGGATCCGTACCAACTACATACAGGCCAGGTACTGGTGGCAACCCATTGACTCCATCCTTTTCTTCCGCGCCTTATTAGCTATTCTAATGTCCGCATTTATTTATATGCCTATCCGAATGGACCGAAGCCAGTCGCGAAGATCAAGCCAACGACCAGGTCGTAAACGCGACTGCGAGCTTGGGGGAAGGAGCGATGCAAGAATACTCTGTCTGCCTATGTAGATACCTAAATACAGCACCAACGAGTGATCTGTACTAGTTCCGTAGGTACCTACCTTATCCTTTATTTTCATCGTCTTTTTTTTCTTTCTATTTTCTTCATCCTTATTCCTCCTTCATCTTCCTCCCCTCCCCCTGCCTCCTCCTTGCTCAGCCTCTTCGCATAAAACATGAACCATACATGCCCATAATGTCCGTCTTGATTCCTCATGCTATCCATCTATCTTCGTCCCGCCGTTGACGACTCTATGCCCAACTACAGGCCCAGGCCCCCGCCAGCCACTCAGCGGCACAAGGACGAAGGGGGGCTTGGCTCACCCGTCGTTGAAACTCCAACGGTAACTGGCCTCGTCGCGAGATTTGTGATGGAGCACTACCACGCGAAGCCGTTTCTTCCCACAGCCCAGGGGCTAGTACTGGTAGAACAGTCAACACGTTCCCGTTGGTCCCGTGGCTGTGTTTGAGATTGCTGATTAGTATTTCCAACTTCCAAACAGACCCAACCATCCTTGCCCCTGTCATTGTTTCTCTATGACGAAATACCAACAGCTCAATGCCACCATTTGTGGCCTACCGTGGTGCCGGTATGCTGGTAGTTGTCTTTGATTCACACACGGACACCTACTTATCTACCCAGGCCAGGTAGTTTATCCGTATTGCCCTCAGCTTCCAGTACCCCACAAGCCATACCCTGGGATCTTCTTTGTTGAGTACAACGCTCTCCGAATACCGAATACGGGTAACACGGACATCCCTCAATGGAAAGTGACTTAAATTCATCTCACCGATCCACGATGATCCCAAAAGAAATAAAACGAGAATCAAGCCCGTCATGTGGTCTCGATGCATACCTCCGCTCGCTCCCGAGTCCATGGGCCATCACCAACCTCCTACACTAGCCATCCCTGCCACTTCTCCCTCATGCCACACCACACTATCTGTGAACCCAATACCATCATTATGCACACAGGTCCCTGATTCTCTTTCCTGTAGCCTCAAATGCTTCCCCGATCACCGGGAATGGTCAGCCACACGCGGTTGCCGTAGCAAAACTCACTGCCGCCCTGTCCTAGCTGCCAAGTATGCGCATCAAGAAGACCTGAACAAGAGACGGGCGGGCGATTAATGCTGCTTCAGAATAGATGCAGACCCAATCGGCTCTCGCAATCTGTCCAAACCTGACTGGGTCTGCATTACCAATACTTTTTGTATTAATCTATTTGATAGTGATTGATTCATCAATATGAGTACGACACTTGACACGCGCCGCTGCATGGCGCCGCTGGTCTTAACTGGGAAAAACAGGCAGTATTGAGATGAATACTAACAAGGTACGGAAAAGGTCTTATGTGAGTACAGTTCATCATCTCCTCGGTGGTTTCCATTTCTTGTATTTGGAATAGACTGCACAAATGTCTATACTCAGCCCCATTGCCCATCTCATCTTCTCAACTTCTGCTGCCTCGCGCTTCCACTTCCGCCCCGTCCATAACATTCACTGAGTCACCTTTCAGTCCATGAGCTCGATTAACTTGGCGTTCTCCAAGAAATGATTCCACATCAAGGCGTTTTTGCCCTCGAGGCTGCGAAAACGCCGATACTTCAGACGTTTCATCGCCAACCGCCCAGCCAACTTGCCCAACCAGAGCTCTATCCATCAACTTTCGAGTCAATACTAGTCCGCGCCACTGCCTCAAAATTCCCATCTCTTCCACCCCCCCTTCGGAAGACACCTCGGGACGGGGGCGGGGGGGAGGGGTCAGGGATCACAGCCAGTTGAGCAGTTGAGTAGCAGTAGCCTCTCCGATTCCCGAACGCGTCTGAAACGCATCCAAGTCACACGCGCAAGAGCGCCTAACCTAGAGTGCCTGGTTTGACCCTTGCCCTACCGTTTTGTCACCCCCCCCCCCGCCCCTTCAGCGACAACCGTCAAACAAATCGGGATGCACAAATTAGGAAAAAAAGATAAGAGATTTCCATATAGTTTGTTGTTGTATTTCCGTATAGGGAGGGGTCTGAATTCATCGCATGACTGACTGGGCCAGTCCCGCCGCGCACGGCTGTGTTGCCGACGATTTTTTCTGCATAAACACTTATCCTAGAGATACGGGTAATTTTAAGCTGGACGAATGGCGTCTCTTCATCCTAGAGAAGCAGCCTTCGAAACCCCCAATCTGGCCCAATATCTCATTTGCAAATACATTGATTGGCACCTAGGTACTCCGGTCATGTCGCACAGCATCGCCCTGTTGCCCCATCATCTCTCAACACTTCAGCCTACCGTACCTTGATATGCATGCGTCACCTGTACAGCACGATTTTGGGTATTGCAGAAACTTGATCTCTATGCTCTCAATATTGTCAATGCTCTCAAGCACCTATGTAAATCCTCTCGTCTGCTGCTATCGCTGCCGGCAAAATATACACATTATATCAAAAAATTGCACGCGACGATGGGTGACAAGACCCAGTATCACTGCTAATAACCACTCCCTGGGAAACGCCAAAATCGAATCAGGAAAAATGAAGCGGCCAAGATAGTAGTCTAGGAAAACTGAGACAGGCCAGTTTGGCCAAGCAATATCCAAGACTTCCTTGGCTGGTAAGAAAACGCCGGCAAAGGGTGCCGGCAAAAATATCGATCAATGTAGAAACCATGTACAGGTTGAAGAAGAGAAAATGATAGAAGGAAGAGGGGTACAAATATGCTCGTGGTATAGTCGCTTTTAGAAATCAATCATCATATGCTCTCCTGAAACCGTGAGCTCGATCCTCGCGCGCTGCCACTGGATCCGGGCCGCCTAGGTGGCGAGGCATTGTTTGGCGGTGGCGGCGATGGCATCGGGTCGGCAAACGGGTTGGCTTCCGTCACCGGGGTGCGCGCGGGTCCTGATCGCATAATTGGCACGCCGCTCACAGGTCGCATGGGACTGCCAAGTGCGAAAGGTTCGTCGCCGCGGTTGAATGGTTCTGACGATTGAGAATATTGGCTCATGGTACTTTGGCGCGGGTCTGTGTATCCGTCGCCGCCGGTGTGGAGAACAGACGGCAGCTTGCGACCCGAGACGCGATAGAAGCCCCGTTCACCACCAGAGGGCACTTCTGGCGTATCCGAGGCAGCAGCGGCGTTGCCCCTCAATTGACGCTTGCCAGTCATTGCTGCAAAGGTTGCATTGATGGAAGAAGCGGCTGCGTTTCGCTCGGCCATCGGGTTGGCCGATGCATTGCCCGGGGCGCGCAGAGCAGGGATCCCTTGAGTTTCCGTACTGCTGGGAAGAGATTCGCTGCCCTGCTTCTTCTTGTAACGCAGGGCAAGCATGACGAGCAAGGCAAGGAAGGCCACACCTGCGACGCTGCCCACTACTCCGCCGACAATTTGCTTTTGCTGCGTCGTTAGGGTATCGCCGCCCGAAGTAGACGCGGAAGTAGTCTCAGCGCTGCCCGCGACCGTGGGAATAGTTGTTGGAGAGTTCCAGGTTGGGGTTGAGCTCCTGGTAGATGAATACGATGACGAAGATGTGGTGTCAGTGTCGCTCGAGCTCGAGGATGTAAAAATGCGAAAGTCGGATGGCGTCGTAGAAATATTGTACTTGGGAGATTGGGTCAACGATACCGGTCTGGCCGTCGAATTAGTTGGGGTGATGATCATAGTAGTATTGCCCCAGGTGGTTCCGTTGCTCGTGTCTGACAAGGTGGGAAAGCTAGAGACGGACGAGGAAGGACTAGGAGCCGAAGCAGGCTGCGATGAGGTGGAGGTCGTGTGATAAGTCGAGCTTGTAGTCGATGGCGTGGATGATGAGCCGCTTCCCAGGCCCGGGAGGAGGCTGCTCGGGTTTATGGCAATGCTAAAGGCAGGACTAGACTGTGACATGGTCTCGCCCGTGCTGCGGTCAACAACGACGGTGTTTGGGGTGGCATATTCGGTAGAGGACGAAATAGGTGAGCCAGAGGCGTCGACCACTTGTACTATAGAAATAGTTTGAACGACCTGGGTGACATAGGGTGCGTCATCTTGGGCGCGGACGGCAAGAGCGGCGTCCACGGCGGCGGCAAGAGAACGGGCTTCCAGCGACAGAGTATCGCTGGCTGCGCCGTCATCTAGATGGAACTGGGCGACGGCGGGTTCCAGTGGCGGCAATTCAGCGGCAGGCAAAGGGGGTTGTTGGTCCTCTGTGTCACCGTGATCGTTGTTGCTGGCGTCTTGTTGGCGGGTATGGTGATGCGCATGCGGGTAATGAGCGTGGCGATGATTCTGTAAATGGACAGCGAAGCGAGTGTGGGAATCCGAGGCAAAGGATGGCGAAGGATCGACAGAATAGGAATCGCGGGCCTGAAGGAGTGAAGGCCCGCGAGGATGGTTAGTCATGATAGCGACTCGTCAGAAGGCGGCGCAGCGGTGACCGGGCGGCGGTCGTATGCTTTGGCGGGGGCGCTTGGCTGACGACGGAATGTTTCTATTTTTCGACACGCAGCAGGGGCATCATGATCTAAACAGGGCGGAGTCTCTTGATGTTGTCGTACTAGCAAGGCAGCAGTGTTGGACTAGGCGCAGTCTGCCTTGGAACAGGAAGCGGAACAAAAAAATGCCAGTAAACAGATTGCGTAGTCTGATGGGTTTCCTGCCCGTTACTTAATGGCGATGGATTCGCGGCCGAGTCGTACGTGAGCTTTGTTGCGGTTGTCGGGCTGGTTGGCCACTAGGTAGGTAGTAGGCGGTGCAGAAGGCTGGTAAATCGAAACGGATCGCTGGTTGGACGCGTGGTAGTGAATAAAAATATCGAAAAAGCTGGAAGAAGATAAACGAGCGAATGGCGACGAAAGTAGTAGCGAGTGCCTAGCAGCGAACTAGCAACGTCAACATAAACATGACGAGCAAACCTGGACGCAAAAGGTCGAGGTGAGGCTGAAGAAGAGAGAGGGAAAAAAGAGGACGAGAGAAAGGCAACAAGGAGAAGCGACAAGAGGTGGAAGGCATCTCCCTGGGCTGGGCTGGGCTGGGGCACGAGCCGAAGGTGAACTGAACCTGGGAATGTGTGTGGGTGGGTGGGAGTTAGGAGGCTGCAAGGTACCTCTATCCCGCATGTAGGACGGATAGATACATGGAGTGTTGTTTTCTCTTCACACCCCCTGCAGCTCTACAAAACCCCATCTCTTACTCGCTGCCCTTTTCTTTCATCGACCCGTCTGGCTTGCATGCTCTTTGTTCTGGACCTGACTTTGGAAGTAATAATAAAGTCGTCAGCTGCTTTGTCCTTGCTGGTACATGTGAGGCTTGCTGGGGAATGTTGTACCTTCATTTCCCTCATTTCCCTGTGGCCCCATCGACGGCCGCAAGAAATGATCCACACTGGCCGTGAGCTGTTTAATCTATTAATATTAGCAGCAGGGGTAACGGCCAATAAAAGCCGGACGGGCCTACGAGCCAAAGAAGCCTAGCGTTGAAATGCCCAAGCGAATCAATACGGGCACGAGTCTCTTCACCAAAAACCACGAACCAAATGCACTACAGATCCCGTACAGCGCAGGGAGAAAAATTATAATAATAAACCATTGATAATAGTTAGAGATAAAGTGCGTGTATTAATAATGGTTACGGAGGATTGTTCTTCTCCTTCCAGTCGGGCGGTTACTCATACATGAACATCCACCCATCAACCCGACACCTCTTTAGAGACGAGTCGTGTTGTCTCTTGCGCCGAATAGTCATTTTTGTCATGTAACATATTCGGGCCATGAGGATCTCGCTTAAAATTACAGTGCAAGTGCTCATCAGCGATGGCTGGTCGTTAGATGTTGGGCCCACGACAGACCCCGATGGGCATGGCGCTCACCAACACCAACAAAGGCGGGGAATATGACTGGCATATGAAACCACTACTGTCGGTTAGTTTCTGGACTACCCGTACTAGTATAGGTATACGAAGTATTTATCAAAGTGAAGCACAGTCTTGAATGTCGATTTCATGAAAGAAGCTGGTGAAAGATGCCCGTCGACGATCCAAGGAGGCAGAGGCGTACTTGAAGCTCCGCGATGACTGCCGCAGATCCGCAGGATGAGCCTCTCCGGGGTACGGCTTGAGCCACGGGACTCGAGTTCTCCGGGCACGAATTTATTAGTCCTGTGAATTCGGCAGTGGTTATCTTTCCCGCTCGCGCTTGAACACAACGATGAATTGCTGTAACGGAAACGCGCACGGACCAAAGATCACAGAGCGGGTATCCCGCAAAACAGCAACCGCGGAGGAATCAGAGCATGCTTGATTGCCTCAATAGATCGGAGATCCAAAATGTGTAGGCATATCTAGAAAGTCAAATCATGAGCCATGTTTCGGCAGCTGGTACTCAACTACCAGTACCTCCCTTGTGTATTCATGATACCTTTGATAGCAATTGGGAGTCTATGCTGTGGTCCTAGTTGTGTACGCTGTTGCATGTCGAGAGCTCGAGCTTGTTTCAAGGACTTGCTGGTAATACTTACTACGCAGACTCCTCTTATATCCGTCCGTCCACCCATGGCGGGCGGTATCAATCAGTAAATGGCCCGAGAGATTTTGTTTCCATCCGAGTTTGTAGTATCCGTATCTGACCGCTTATTTTTAGATCTGGCTTGATTTATTTCCATTTTCGTCCTCTATGTGTTAATAAGACATTTTCAGTTGATACCGTGTTGGATCCTGTTACTGGCCCTGCGAATTCCTTGCGTACCAAGAGCATTGCGCTTCTCAAGAGCATTGCGCTTCTCACCTCCTCCGCTGCTGCTCAGTCTGGCCAAGCCGCTAACATTCAGAACGCATTCCAAGTCGCCGCCCTTGCCAGTCTCACCATTTACTCGTATACATAATAGTACGGAAAATGATGTGCACATATGGCCCATCAAATTGCCACCTGAATATTCCTTCGTATTGACACGCGTTCTCCGCCGTTTGTGGAGTATCTATACCCTGCTCACAGTTCGCTGCCCATTACACTATTTTTTACCTTACGGCTGCCCTTTTATCCTCGAATCCTTCGTATTATCCCTCATATATTGCGCTCTTTTTATTCGTACTGACTACATAGCTTAACTCAGTCAATCTTGATTCTACAGGTAACTATCCTCGAAAAGTTTATGCCACCTTGCATAAATCTATTCTCCGCTCTTGTTTGCTAAATGCCCGCAAACAAACGGACAAGATGTGCCAGCTGCCAGCTGCCAACTCCGTAGCCACATCGCCTTCCGTTTGCTACCTTTTTATGTATGTACATAGCTGTGCCACACAGCTTCTGAGTTTATTTGTTAGCCCGGCGCATGTTCACCCATGCCCAGTTCTATCAGCGTTACACTTGCTCAGCCACTCTCGGCCTCTCCCACAATCACGTCACCTCCATGCATAGAACCCGACGATATGTGTCGACTATCAGTGTCTTGCCAGTTTAGCTACTCTGCATAATCCGCGGTTGTGGTGATCCTAACCATCGTCATTCATCTCGCCCTTCAGCATCGTCAAATCGTGCGCTGTTCATCCCGTGGGCCAGGCACCTGTGGGGGGTATCGATATTAGCGCCCTTTTATCCCAACTGCGCCCAACATTGTCATCATCGCTCAACAACAAGCAATATGCTCCGCCAAGAGCGGTATCCCTCGCCAGTTCTCAATAAGACCGTGCAAACAAACAAGCCGCCCCGTCGGCTTTGAAGATTCTATGATCAATATGGCGACCCCTCCTGCCTTGCCGCCGCGGACACAAGCTGCACAAGGCCCATCTCCTCTACCAGTGCCTGAGTCTCGAAAGGATGGACTCCCGACAGCTTCGTTACTCGGAACCGGTTATTCCACCAATCTAGATGCTTCAGACCCGCGAACATCATCATCCCAGTCACTTATAGCGCCGGCGCAAGAAGCTGATGCGAGACGCTCATTGCTCGTTATATACATCCATGGCTTCTACGGCAATGACCAGTCTTTTAGGTCGTTCCCGGCGCACGTACACGCCCTTCTTACTGAGCTTCTATCCGAAACTCATATTGTTCATTCAAAGATATATCCCCGATATAAAACCTATAAAGCCATTCACGTTGCGAGAGATAACTTTAGTACCTGGCTTCAACCACATGAGTCTGCGACAACCGATGTCATTCTTGTCGGTCACTCCATGGGAGGGTTGCTGGCCGCTGAGGTCGTTTTATTGGTAAATCTCTCGCGGTTAGATGTTGATTTGCGAGCAAGCTAACTCAAGCCATTCAGCCTAATCGTGAACCGCATCTCCAGCAGCCATTCAAGCACCTTATACTGGGCACATTGTCTCTAGACTCACCATTTCTCGGCCTACATCCGGGTATTGTGGTTTCTGGCCTGTCGAGTCTGTTCCAGCCTGCACCACAGCCGGAAAAGGAGACTGTGGGTTCTGAGTCCGAGTCTTCACTTGGCGTAGATAAGTCGATGAGCGACTTGAAGCTACCAGTCTCGGACACCACATCTCAAGCCTCTACGGCATCATCTCCACCACCCCGGCCAAACGAGCTATATGACCCGCCCTACTTTAACGACGTGCCGTTCCGAGAGAAGCCATTCATATCAAGGCTGCGACACTTTGCATCAAAGCATAAAGCCGAGGGCATATTTAATGCCATCGGCAATCATATTGTCTCCCATCTCGAATTTGGTGGCTGTATGGCCGACTATCCTGAACTTTCCTCGCGTTACAAGCGAGTACGGGCTTTGGAAGATGTCGATGAGCTCAAGGCAATTTCCGAAGGTCACCCAGCTGCAGCACACAGGCGTGTGAGATTTGTCAACTACTACACGTTATCGCCAGGTCGAGCGAAGCCATCACCAGTTGATGGGGCGGCTGTCGCTGCATCGCCAAACTTGAACAATTCCGAAGCATGTGCCAATGAAACCGGTGATAGCAAGGCAGAAAGCAACTCACATTTCAGCGCTGAGACCACAGCAGCGCCGCATGTGGATCAGGAAGCGGCCCACGCGGTTTCCGAAGAAGAGGATCTTTATTCAGCGGACGAGCCGAGACCAAAGTCAGATGCAAAAGTAGTGGCGGAAAAGCCGTGGAAGGATAACAACGAACAAGATGATGAAAGCTCACAAGACGGAGACCACCGCAAGTCTATTTTACACCTCGATCCCGCCCCAATACCCGAAGAAGAGCACGTGGACCCTGCAACACCTCCAGCGGCTGATACGCCACCAGACGCGGAAGCTCGGACGGACTTGGACCTCGCGCCCATCCCGCCTGAACCCGAAGAGCCCGTGTTTCCCGACCTGACCAGGTACACGGATAAGGACGCTCGGAAGCAGGCGGAGAGGGAGGCGCGACGGGCGGCCAAGGCGTACCAGCAGGCCGTCAAGGACCGCAACAAGGCCATCCGCGAACGGGAGAAGCTCCTCGAAAAGCGTCGTAAAAAGGCTACAAAGGAAGCACAGCAGCAGCAACATCACGACGAAGCCGCCGCCACCGCCACCCATGCGACCGCAGAGCCTGCTGCCCCAGCGGAAACCAGAGACGACACGCCGTCGCCGCCCAGGAAGCTGCGCAAGTTTTGCGCGCTTCCGTCCGGCGTGAGGCGCGACCCGACGTGGGTGGACGTGTACATGGCGGACGTGGATGAGGTCGGCGCGCACTGCGGGCTCTTCGCGCCGGGAGCGCACTACGACAGGCTCGTGGGCGACGTGGGCAGCCGCGTGGTGTCGTGGGTGCAGGAGGACATGTCCACGAGAGCGGCCATGAAGATGTAAGCGAGGAGAGAGAGACGGAGAGGGAGGGGGAGTTTTGCATTTCTCGGCAAGGGACCGGGAACTGCCGCTGGTTTAGAATACCCTCGAGACGTTTGCTTGCCAAGACCAGTATGTTACCAGTATGTGGCATTCATCTATAGATGTATGAACCGAAGATTTTCTGCAACGGTGCTAGATTGGTCATCTATATAATCAAAAAAAGGTAGAAAGCCATCCCAAACTGATTTTTCCTCCCACTTTTTTATGCGCCAACTCCCAATGCTGTGCGTCAATGAATGAGTAAAATGCACGCTCCCCTTCTTTCTTTACTTCTTTTCATCCTTCATACATCATCCAGCACACCTTCAGTAAAGGTCAAGCTCTCGCAGTTTCGTCCCGAGGCTCCTCTTCTCGCCCGAGACTGATGCTACGCCCTCGAGCGTGGCCTGGCCTTCATCTTCGTTCTTGCACTCCTCCATCTTGAATTCCGTCGAGTTGAAGCTGACGACGCCTAGGCGCACCAGTGGCTGTTCTGGCTGCCAGTCCTTGGGTGCACACAAGAGCGCCGTCACCGGTTGCTCTGCTGATGTCGTCACTGCCGGTGCTGTTGGCGTCTTCGTGTCTGGACGAGACCCAGTGGGACGCCAGTTTCTACTGGTGAGAAGCATGGCTGTGACAGCGAATTCGCCATCCGCAATGCTAGCAACCGCGCTCGGATCGGTGTCGGCAGGTGTGTGAGAGGAGCGAACGAGCAAGAGGATGGTGTCTCGCGTTGCCTGGTCAAAAATATCTGCAGGCTCCGTAACCTGCCACTCGTCCTGCGTTTTGGTCACCTTGATGTCGAAGCAAAAGATCTTGATGCGCAGGAATGTAATTGGCTCCGCTCGGCGTGAGATGGCCACTCCGTCAATCTCCCATGAGACCAGCAGGCCATCCGCAAAGCCCACAGAGATTTCCGTGCGAGGAGGCGCGCATAGGCCGTCCGCGACTACGGGTACAGACTGATCATTCGTTTGAGGTATGCAGAAGGAGTGGCCGCTCTGTGAAATAGGCTGATCCTGTCTGATGCGCCAGGACAGCCAGGTCCAAGACGGAAAGTGAGCAGGCTTGTCGAGATAGCATGGCTCAAGGTCGTTGTTTGCCTCTTGACTCGACGAAACGATCCGACCAGACCACATCCAGCTCATGGCGACGGTTAGGCGATCTGTCTCGCTTACAACCTTGAGGCCGGTGAACGAATCAGGATCGAAAAGTGGCAGCCCCATAAAGGTATCGACACGATCTTTGTCTTTGATCGAATATGCCCGAGACAGTCCACGAAAAGCATCCAGGCGATCTTGGGGTCTTGCAAGCTCGCGAGTCATATATGTCCCTATTAGACTTCGGATATCTGCACTGCCAATGCCGTCCAAGGGAAAGATTCGTCCAAAGGAGAAACTAGGAGCAAGCCGCAGCGGAATACTGATGCTCTCATGGCAGTGGAGAGCACCGCATTGAAAGTAAGCCTGGGAGGGCGTGAGGATGAGGCGTCTTCGTGCAAGGAGGCCTTCCTGGAGAGTCCCGGCATTGTTTGCCCATCGAGAGGCAGCAACTTCGACATCCGGACGCAAGAGTGAAGTCGTGAATAGACCCTGCTCATTCTGGAGTGAAAGCTGGTCCTGGTCTCGCGATACGCTTACACCAGGAATGCCATGGGCAATGCCATCGCCGGCTGCGACAATCAGCGTCAAGGCGGAGCGTGCAAACACTTCTCCGAGAAAATCCAGCTGCTGCCTTCTTTCAAGCTTGTTTTCACGCGAAGGGAGACAGTAGTGATTAATCCACAGATATCGATATCCCAAGGACGAGGTTAGTGAAAGTGAGTCTTGGAATAATGTCGGCATAGTGGTTGGTAGTTCGGCGTCCTCGGTAAACGGTGCCAGCTCCGAATCTCCGAGTGCATAGCTGAGCGTAACGTATTCATAATCTTGCGTCCCCAAATCTGCGATGAAGACGACTTTGTGGCTCTGCACATCAATGAGCTTGAAAGGTGCCTTGCCCGGGGAAGCAACCTTGACGGCACAGCGTTCGTCAGCATGGTTCTCTTTGCAGTAGTCAATCCAGCAGCGCGGCAAGGCCGGGTTGAGAAGCGCGGGCACAGACCGGCCTCGCAATAGCTCGGATGGCAGCTGATGCGATGAGGGCTGACTGGATTGCGTCCCCGTCTCGCTACTCGCCCCGTCCTCGCGTGAAGACTCGAGGTAACCGTCGAGGCCAGTCTCGTCCTTGACGGCGCGTAGGATGTAGCCACGAGGGAGCGACTTGTTCTTTGTCGTGACCTCGAAAAGGAGTGCCCTGCCAAGCTCGTGCTTCTGGCTGATGCCGAGCCGCTCGAAGGCGTGTCTGATGCGGAAATAGGGGGTAAAGGTGCTGGTGGCAGCGGGCTGGCGTGCCCCCGTGTCCGATGATGCATCCGTAGGCTCGGAAACAGTCGGACTTTGTGCTTCGTCGGTGCCAGCGCCGGGGATGTGGCCGATCATGGCTTGGAAGAAGGTGCAGTACGGGCAGCCGGACTCGTCCTTGAGGGTGTGAGCCAACGGCACCCAGGGTCGCGCGTCGCCTGGGGTCCAACCGAAGAGAGTCGGGAATGCCATCGCTGCGCAATGCTCGCATATTTGCTGGGCACTGTCGGCGGCAACATGGCTTGTGCCATTGCCATTGCCATGGTGTTCTCCAGCGAGCACCGCGGTCCCGTTGCCGTTCTCCTTGTTCCCGTCACTCTTCTCTTCAAGCAGTGTCCCGGCAAAGATGCGACTGGCACCGGTCCTAGTCGGCTTCTTGGTCGGGATTCCCTTTCGCGGGGTGAGCTGATGATGGTCTCGCGCACTCTCCAGCCGCGGGCCAGCCAGACCCTTTTGTTTGCCCGAGCCATTCTCACCACCACCACGGCCCTGCAGGCGCCGGGGCAAGATCTTGGTAAACTTGATCATATATGTGAAGTTTTGTGTCCGGAGAGGGGGTGTGATTTTGATATCCTCTCATACACCCCCTTTCGGCTGATTTCTTTTTCGTCTCTCTTTTTTTTTTTTTAGTTTCGTTTCATGCCTTGCTGCGAGTCGTTGTGATGGGTCTCCTTTTCCCGCGGCGGCCCTACGCCGCTTTGTCGTCCCCTGATTTCTGGAAAGGGCCGTACCGTCCTTGGCTAAAAAATCAAGATGTATGAGTCGGTCTCATTTTTGTCATTTATTTTCCGGTGCACCCGCAGTATGTGATGAAGTGAAGAGGGGGTTCAAGAGGCGTTCGTTGTGTTGGGGAAGAAAAAAAGAGCTCGACTGAGTGGGTGATGTCTACCTAGTAGGCAATATTATTACTGGTAACTTAGTTAGTACATACTTGGTAGTAGGTCAGGTATTGAGTAGGTCGTTGAGAGAGCGATTAGCTGGATGCTCGGCGCAAAGGGACACCCATTGGTACATCGAGGACACTAAGAAGTCACTAACTAATTCCGCCTTGTACCTGTTTTTTATCTTCTTCCCCGCGCAAGGTAGCACTTTGTTATTCGTGCTCGTCAGATCTTTGACGAGTGCTTGGGAAGGCGCGCGGCTAATAAGAGCACGGAATCTGTAAGAAAGTTGTGTTCATATTTTGCTGCAGGTGCGACGCATTATTAGTAAAGCATCGACAGTGCCAGTGTCGGATTACCAGTAGAAACTTTTCCAGCCAGGCCGCGGAAGGCAGAATCAGGGTCCGAAAGTCTCAACTAAGAAAAAAGAGTGCTGCCCATTCAGAACCGTTGCCTGACTTACTTTCCCCACCCCTCCCTCCTTTCTCCGCGACGCCATGTCAGTAAAATCCGAAAATATTTGATAATCGTCATGACTGTGTGCCTAGCCGGGGCCAGATACCTGTCCTTTTTCCGCGGCCAGCCAGCGTGAGACCAAATCGCTGGGCAATTGCTCTGTCACTGGTGTCCAGCTCGCTCCTCACAGCACTCGTCCATCGTCCCCCCGCCAAGACCCTTCTCCCCTTCTCGATGACGCTTACTTCCTTCCCATTCGGTGGCCTTTTTCATCAATAAGACGCGTCTGTGTGGCAAAATGGTAGACCGCGAGACTTTCGCGCCTTCCAAAGTTGACATCGGATGAACTCAATCACCACCACACAAGTCAGGCTCTATAGCCGATGCATTCGCTCCAGTTCACGCATACATGTCGCGCATTTTTGTTACAATTTTTATTGTCTTTCACTGGGGTGGAAAAAGTAATATCACACATCTGTAAATGCGCCTTTCGAAGATGGACGCCGCCTTGTTATGCCAGCGCCAGAGTATGGTCATCACGAATAACACCCATGACACCAAGGCCTGCCTCGCCCCCAGAAACACAAGGACCCTTGACGTAAATCTAGCACGGCCATGCCAGTTAGCAACAAGACTCGAATCGGGTTTTGTTTTCCAAAACATGAAAAATCCCCTTTCAAGAGGGGAAAATGGAAACTTACCTCGCCAGCGGCCTGGTCGTCCGTCGTCTTATAGCTACCCGAATCCTTCAGGACCACCTCGACGCTGCTTGTCGGCGCGCCAAAGTGTCCCTTCTCATCACCCACCTCGGCGCGGTAATCGTAAACTGCAGTCTGCGCGACCGCGCCTGCCACCTTGGCCGCCGCGAGCGCATACACGACCCGGGCGCCCGTCAGCACGCGCAGGTCCGTCAGGGCCGCCGGCGACAAGCCCGGCGTCTGCTGGCTGCCCGCGCGATCTGTCGTATAGACCAGGCGCAGCGCACCCGGCGCATTGCCCAGAACCGGTCTCGCCGCCGACGCAAACGCAGACAGCGCGTTGTTGGCCCCGGCCATGATGCCTTCGTTGACGAGCGTGCGACGAGAGAGTGCGTGCGCCAGAGTGCCGAGCGGCGACGGGAGCTTGGCCATCGCGCGCGCGCGCGTCTGCAAAAGGGCGGCTGAGTCGGCCACTACGACGGTTGGCGCGATGCCCTGCGTGGCCACCGTCAGGTCGATTGCGCGCGCGCCGGCAGCCGAGTTGAGCGCGACCGACGCGTTCGAGTACAGCGCGGCGAGGGTGAGCACGAGCGCGTGGGCGCCGGTCAGTGCCGAGGCGGGCAGGAAGAGGTCGGCGTTGGTGAGGCGCGCCTTGGTCGGGATGGCGGCGAGCTGGCCCGCGACGCCAGCGATGAGGTTGGCCTGCGTGAAGCGCACCATCTCCTGCTGCTGGTCGTTGGGCTTGCCGCTCTGCCAAAACGTGACGACGTCACCAACCGCCGAGGTGGCCTCCGAATCCGCAGCCGGTGCGGCGGGAAGCTCGCGCCCCGCGTCGGCAGCCGCGTCGCGCACAATGTCCTGCCAGGTGGCGACGCTGACGCTGCCACCGATACCCTCGGGCACCTCGTTCCAGTCCATGTGGGCGCTGCCGCGATCCACGACCCAGATGAGCTGGCGCAGGCCCGGGTAGGCTTTGACGACGGCGTCAAGCGGGAACTCGCCCGTGGCCGTGATGACGGTGTCGACGGCGGCGCGGCGCAGCATCGACACGAGCCGCTCCTCGGGCACGTCGAACGGGATCAGAACAGCCGTCAAGTTCTCGCTGAAGGCGCAGGCAAACAACGCAGCGAGCAGCTCCATCGAGTTGGGCAAGTAGATGGCGACGCGGATGCCGCCCTGTTCGGTAATGTGCTGGCCGATGAGGTTGATCTGTCTAGTCACGTCGTCTGTGTGCACACAAGTCAGCAACCAAGCACTCCATCGGACCTTGGTCAAGCCTTGGGGGACCACCTCGGCGCCTTACCAAGGTTGTGCTCTTGGACGTTCTGCGAGCCATGCACCGTCAGGAGTTTGCCCTTGGCGCCCGCGTTGCCGCCCTGGACGACCTTGCGCCAGATGTCGCGGAGGTCGCCGTCGTGGCCGCGCGCCCACTTAGAGGCGCCGGCCGGCTTGACATTGAGCCCTGAGTTGAGCGGCATGCCGTGCGGTGCTAGCGGCGATCGGTACACGGCGCTCTCCCCCTCCTTGCGCACCGCTGAGGGCGTCGACTGGCGCGCCAGCAGGATAGGGTGCACGTCGGGATCGGCGGCGCGCAGGATCTGGTAGCCGAGGACGACTACAAGCACCGTCACCAGGCCCGTCGAGTAGCCATTCCACTGGCCAAAGAGGCCGGTGAGGCCGGCATCGAGGGTCTCGAGGATATTGCTCATTCTGTCGTGCGGCCCGCGTGCGTGGGAGGCGTCGGGTGCTTCGTCGAGTATGGGTCGATCGTGGAGTAGAAAAGGCCAAGATTGCGACAAGACGCGTGCGCTATCTGGGCACAGCGTATTGTCCGTTGAAAATGGAACGAATTAGTAGTGTGTCGTGCCAAGAGATTCGCTCGCTCGAGGCTTCGATTGCGGAGAGAAGGGAAGGGATGCGAGACAAGCTGCGGCGGGAAAAGAGGTCGTATTACCAAGGTACCAACCAGTAGTCAGCTTGTTTGTACCTATGTGCGGATACGTACGTATACATACATACAGTGGGTCGATAAAAGTTTCAATCGATTTACTTTTAACGCGCTATAGCCTACTTTAATATTTAATTTAGAGTATTAATAAGATAAATAAATTAATAAATATAATTTAAAAAAAAGTAATAAATTATTATTTATATAAGCTTAGTTCTTATAATTTTAATATTTTATATATAAACTATAAATAAGAATAATTATATAAAAGTAGTTTACTATTAATAAGGATATATACTTAAGAACCTTATTTTTAAATTCTTTTTATACTTTAGTAGTTACTATTATTAATTTTTAGTATATTTAATAGCTTAAAATACTTTTTATAAATTTTCTCTTTTAATAGTTTCTAAATATTTTTAGTAAGACTAAAGTTTAATAAGTAGAGTAACTACTCTACTAATATTATACTATTTTAATTAGTCTATTCTTTAAATTATACTTTAATTATTTAAACTATATAAGTTAGAGTATTGTTTTATATAAAAAAATAACTAGATTCTATAACTATAA